GCGTTGGTGGCGCACACCTTTAATTCCAGCACTCGGGAGGCAGAGGCAGGCGGATCTCTGTAAGTTCAAGACCAGCCTGGTCTACAAGAGCTAGTTCCAGGACAGCCTCCAAAGCCACAGAGAAAACCCTGTCTCGAAAAACCAAAAAAAAAAAAAAAAAAAAAAAAAAAAAAAAAAGAATGGAACTGCTCATTGCATTATTCTCCATTCTCCTGCTCCTTCAATTGGAGGAAGCCTTCTCTAACTCACCTCATCCCTCATCCCTCATCCCTCATCAGTTGGCCTCCTCCAGTAGAACTCTCTAGTTAAGAGAAAAGTTTAGAACCCTCCCCCAAATCTTCAGAAGTCAAATTTTGTTTCAGTGACTACATTCTGGAAATATGTGGAATGCCCAGGAGGCCTTCCATTAAGCATTCCATATGAGAAGGAAAAGAACTTCAAAGGGTCTCCTGTAATTAAACTTAACACTCCATTGTTATTGGAAACTTCTTTGGAAGCCTCAATTTTATTTGGCAAATGGCTTGGTTCCTAGTTTAGATGCTAAGGTTGAAATTGAAATCAATTGACTCTTTGTTCAACCATAAGCACCAACAGCAAAGTGAAACAAATCAAACAATAAGAACGGGAAAAGATTGCTATCATGGTAGAAAAGAGTGACTATAGTCTTGTCTATATTTTGTTCTCTTCAAATGCAGAATATTCTAGACACTAAATAGCCCTACCTTAAAGTGACTGACCAGAATAGATGAAGGCAGTACAGTTAAATTCCTAGGAAATGCTTTCTATTTCCTGCCAGTACCTTCATCCCTTGATGATGACCCTGCCATCGACACAAGAGCCCTTCCTGTTGTTACTTTCAATGCTTTACACTAGAGTAACAAGTAACATTCTCTATAAAGGTCACTAGACATAAAAAGAGTTATGACACCATAGGGGCTCCAAAATTTCCCACCATTCATATTCCTGGTCTTCCATTAATGGAAAGTGTACTATAAAGGGGCACAGGGGTGGGGGAACGTAGGTGAAGTGGGGATGGTAGGTCCTTACCAAAAGCTCAACTTCAGCCCCATACAGTTTTCCAGATTCCAAGTAACTGCCAGAACACAGCTACACCACACACAACTAAACTGACAGGAACCATAGTCCTAATCTGGCTTTATTCCAAAATCCAGGGTAATCTCGGTTAAATTTTGGAGAAGATAAAAATGCTGCTTTCTAATAGAGATATTGTGTGACAGTAGTGAAATGTAACCTTGTTAGTGACAAATGTTATATGAACAGATTAGAAAAACAATGAATACTTCTCTCACAACTATTATCTTAGGCCACACTGCATTGCCTTGCCTTTTCTATATTTATACATTTCTATACCAGCATAAAAACTATATTATTTCAGTTCATTTTTTATTTGGGCTAGCATTATTTGATGATAGGTTTTTGAGATTTAGAAGAAAATCTATCTCTAAAGTGACCATTTAAAAGAGGCTGTGTGACTAATTACTGAGCAGGAAATCATCACTAGATTTTCCATATAACTCCTTTTCTTTTTGTTTCTATCTCTTCCAGATTTGAGTTCTCAAAGATCAAACACAGATAAATGACAATCATTGCTATAAGAATTCCTAAAATATGCTGTCTTTGACTCTGTCTTAAGAAACATTTGAAAATTAATACATACTAGCAAAGAATTTTCCTAACACTGCTTCCTAGTTTAAACTGATAAACCAAAAAAAAAAAAAGACCTAAGACCTGTTATTCATAGGATAAAAAGATGGCATCACAATGTTATACTGTTTTACAATGCATACATAATTTATTGTTAAGACTTTCCATTTTAAAAGCTGAAAAACACTTTCAACTGGATACCAACCTAAAAATAAGCATGCCCAATTCTGAAAGACAGGAGATCCCCCTTGTTTGATTAGCACCAATGTACACTAATAAAATGATTTGTATGGAGGCTATATGTAATTCATATAAAAATGACAACCTCTACTAGGCTTTTTGTTATGGCACCTCAATATATCAATGATTTTCCAACCACTAGATTTACTTGTAATCACACCACAAACTAGCATTTGCTAGCAAAACATACACTAAATAATAACAGGAAATTAATTCTTCCCTATGTTTGTAAAGCCTGTATTTGTTTACCTGAAAAACCTCCCCAAACTCTCTTTAAGAGAGTATTTCTAGTAGCTTCAAAATGCAGTCAGAGATTTTCCAGACCTGACCCTGGACCTCCTCAACCAGATTTTGCAATTGAGCCCCAACTTTTAGCATGTCTTAATGCAAATTTATTATGAAATATCACAAATAAATGAGGATAAAGGCACATGGACATCAAATAACTGGCTTTCTTAATCTACTGTCTCTCTCAGAAAACCTGGATAGTTTCCACCAACTTTCTGTGGTGCTGGTAAAGAACCAAGTCACTACTCCTAAAGGTTTCACCTAGACCTGCTGAACAGGATGAGGCAGCTACTGTCAAACCAATCTTAAATACTAGTCAACACATTCCCCTACCCATAAAAAGTCACCAGAGAACCAAAGCCAGACCCATCTTCAGTTTGCTAACAGTCCCTCTCAAGGTCAAGGCCAAAAATATTTCCTGAGTCAAACAGAAATTCCTGGCACTAAAGTCCGTCCTTATAGGCCTTTTCTGGAAACATGAATTTTAAATGGGTTCCAACAGTTATTAACTGGACAGATGAACATAAGATATTTAACACATGAACTCATTACATTACTTTAGGCAGCTGGCTGGGCTCAAGAAAATGAGTCACACCAGCAGCACATTTCACAGAAAATAGGGACATTACAGAAATCAATGAGAACTGAAGGCTGTAATAACAATGCTAAACTCATTTACTTTACAAACTTGTAGACTGATGAATGAACTATTGATAGTATTTTAAGAAAGCCCTGGGTCTATGCAGGGACACACAAGAGCATGTAAATGAGAAAGACTTACTAAAAGAGGGTCAATTTATAACAAAAGCCAATATTAAGCTTCATAAATCATCCAATCACATTCTAAGATGATAAAATAGTCTGTAACGGACTACCTATAGAACTACATGGACATGCTATGCACTCAAAACAACTAAATAAAAAAATGTAGTTTCCGTTACATAATATTTGAAGACACTAGAAAATGCTACAGCAAAAACTTTCTAAAGTTTTGAAGTATCTAGTCCACCTTAAAATCTTCAGAGCCCCTCAGGTTAGCAGTATCCTTGGTGTTGACTTTATATGTTGTAGTTCCTATTTTCCTTGTGAAAGGAGGATGAGTAAGACCACATTAACTCAAACGACATATTGCCAACTAGTTTCCAGCATCAACTGTGAAAATCTGGTAGAGAGAAAAGAATTAGAAATCCAACTTCCTATACGAAAGTTGAACCTCTGCCTATTTATTTTGTTCTCTAGGATTTTTCACTATCCTCCCAAATGAGACAATTTGCAAATACACCTAAAGGAGGGTATTCTATGGGAGGAGAAAAGATTTTAACTTTAAGGAGTGAGAATGTACTTTAAGTCTGTAGGGGAAGGTTCAGTAAATCAACCAGTTTTTAACCTAAGTGACTCATTCTTGTTGTGTAGACATTGTTTTCATTTGGGTGAAATTTAAAATCCTACAAACAAGGGGGCTCCAACAATTCTACCTAGAAGAAAAACCCTTCGGATATCGATTTGCACGGACCTAATACCCGCTTTTAAGCATATTTTACATCCAAGTGCTAGATGGTCTCTATGGTGCCTTTCAGTTCAAATCTTGTTTAATTCTCTGGGAATGTTTACCATACTATTCTTGGAGCCTTGGTAATTACAAATAGAACACAAATGAGAAAAAAAAAGTTCAGAGTTAAAGCTGTCATCATTAAGCCTAATTAAACAGTGAAGACAGAAAGGTGGCAGTAGAATAAAGCATTCTGAATTAGGAAAAAGGAGACCATAATGAGTAGGTCACAGCCCCAGGAATAAAGTTAAAGTTGCACAACAAAGTCGGACAGGGGAGTGGACAGTGGGCAACGTCTCCCCCACCCCCACGCCCCGCGTCCTGTCCCTGAAGTGGCAAGCAAGCCACCTGTCTCCTATTACTTTGATTTTCTACCTACCTGCAGTAACCAACCACACTGGGAATGCATGTCAGCTACAAAGTGGACCCTCCAATTTCAGCAAGTCCTATCGTTTATTAGCCGTTTTCCTACTTGACAGCCCAAAGGGGAACCCACATATTTAACATCAGAAAATGGTGAGACATCTCACCCCTACATTGTGACTCCAGCACTTCTGGCCCAAACAAAAGCCCGTAGAGTGAAAGGCCGTGGCTGTTTTCTAGACGCAGGTTGTTTTGACTTTCACCCCATCACCTAATTGACAACAGGGACTGATACTCGATGGGTCTCTGACTAGGAGACCAACGGGTAAAAAAAAAAAAGCTTGGTCGTCTGGCGGAGTGCTTCAGCAGTAGCCGAGAGAAAGGTGGCAATATACGGGCGGCACCTTCGCCGCACGCAGCAGTACCAGCCAGCCTCGGATAAGTTTCCTTCCCTGCGGTGCAACTAAATCACGCTGCCAGCCCCGCGGCCCCACCCCGCCCTATTACGGAAAGGCATGCGAGCAGCTCGCTGAAGGACGGGCGGACAGCTCCAGGCTCCCCAGCACGAGTTGGCTTTCTCCCGGGCACCGCTTATCCGGACCGTGGCCGCCTCCCCGGGAACGAACCCGGTTGCCAACTTTGCGGCCGCCCCCTCCTCCGCGCAAGCATCCCAAACTTTGCCACGGCCTCACCTGGCGGGCTCGATGGGGGTCCCCGGGAGCGGGCTGACCTTCATGCCCGCCCTAGCTGCCCCTGGCCCCTAAGCCGCCCCCACCCCTCCTGGGAAATCTTAGGCGGGGTACGCCCGGCAGCCCGACACACGCCGTGCCACACCTGATTCCCCTCTAGACCCTGAAGAAAGCCCGAGAATCCGCGTCTCCGGCTAGCGACTCACCATTGGTAAAGGACTCCATCTTCGCCCCGCCGCGGGTCCTCACCAGCCAAGCGCCCCAGGCTTCCTACTACGAGAGCTGAAGCGGCCCTGCCCGACTGAGCATGCCCAGCGAGGCCTCCGAGGGCTGTCGGGGAGGTGCGGCGAGAGGCGGCGCCGCTCCCCCCCCGCGCGGCAACAACACCTTCGTTCCGGGTTTTCGCAACTACTGCAAAAAGACCCACTGAGGCGTGGACGCCAGAGCGCAGCAGCTCAGCCCCTGGCCCACTCGGCTAAGAGGCGGGGGAGGGCGGGGCGGGTTGGGGCGGGGCCTCTGCAAGCCCCGCCCCCAGCGGCATACTTAGTGGGGGGGGGCCCCCGCCGAGCTCTCCGCCGCCGCAGAGCTGTTACCCCGGTTCCGACAGCTGATGCACCTACTGCGTTCGGCTGTGTTCCGGGTGCGGCAACCCCAGTACTGAGCCCGGAAACGCGGCCGGTGGTGACCGGTGGGTAGCGGAGGGGCTGCCGCTACACTCGCGGTCTGAAAGCTGGGCAGAGCCGGGGAGCATCGGTCTCTGCCGTAGGCCAGACCTCCCCCCCGCCCCGGGCAGCTCTCTTCCTAACCGCTGGGGCGAGCCCTGCGGCGCTGGTCGGCAGGACTTCCTTCCCGAAGAAGAGCGCCTCGCTGCAGCCTCTCCAAAACGCCCGACGCAAGGGAGGCAGGGAGGGGCTCCGCCTAGCTCTGTGCTTTTGGCTCTGGGCCCGGCTCGGAGATGAGAGCAGATCCTAAAACCCGGCGCGGGATACAGGAGGACGGACCGTGCTCCAAGCGGTGTGGGCAGAGGCCCGCCATCCTGGCCCGGTCCTAACTCGACACCTGCGATTCCCTTGCTCACAGCCTTCGGGGCGCAAGGCCTGACCCCGCAAAGCTAGACCAGAGGGAGCTAAATTTCCCCCTTCTCTCCCCCCTCCCCGCCAGGACTCGGAGCTGTTGCCTGGGGCCCCTAGTCCCTATTGTTTCCGGTGCCAAATCAGGGCAGCCCCCACCAGCCAAAGAGACGGAGAGCCCCAGGGAAGGCACTCAAGGGTGTTTGCTCGTGCCTCCCCGACCGCGGGGCGCCAGCACCCGGCGGTGAGGCCTCAGTCCTTCCCAGCAGCAGTCACAACTCCCCCCCCCACCCCGCCCGCGCACAGCCGTGGCCCCTGCAGCTACTTGGCTCGGCCTTGGGCCTCACGGTGCTAGCCAACTGTCACACACTCCTCCCAGGCTGTCAACCCTGGCGTCTGGTGCAAACAAATACGGGCTTGCACAAACATCTTAGGCAAAAGAGGGGGAAGACAACGATGTTGTTCGACCGATAAGGAAATTCGAATTACGTTCAAAGAAGTAAAACCGATGTGCAACCCCACTCCTGATTTACAACGTCCTATGAATACCACCTGTACTTGGAGTAACCTCTCAATATGCCCGTCCTTTGCTGTGCTTTCCCCTGAGGTCTTCATGAGCTTCCTAGAAGTTGCCAAGTAGCAACGTTAGTCATTCCTTTATGAAAAGTTCCTTGAAAAACAGTTCCACAGTTAGGTGTTTTGTTTGCTTACTTCTTCCTGTCATTTTCTTAGCTCAAATGTCACCCCTGCTGAGAATCCTCTGGCCACACACCTAAAATAGCAACAAGCACAGTAGACTATAAAGATTTCTCCTGCTGTTTTCTTCATAGCACTTCATAGCTGCCAAAAACATTATTATTTATCAGCCTTCCTCTTAAGAATGCAAGTTTGACAGGGCAGCCTTTTGCCTTCGTTTTTCTAGGGCTTTGTGTCCTACTTCCTAAATATTTTAAATACCTACACTATGGTGTTTAGAGTTCTAATTTACTGCCCCATATTGGAACCTTTCCAGTGAATGTCTTTACATTGAGTGTCTCCAATGGGTTGGTTTGTGGTCAATACAGAGAAAATGTTCATCGCATCGTATCTCAGCGCTGCTTCCGTCTTTTCACTGTGTGAAAGATGGGCTGAGCCCTTAGACTAGTCCCGGTCTCAGAGCAATTCAGAACCAAAAATAGAAAGTGAAACATAAGAACTCTTGATTTAATGGATTTTGTTGAAACGAGCCTGGTTCACATTAGTATTGCTTAAATCAGAAACTCCTCCCTTGTCAGGTCATTTTATGTTCCTTTGGTGTTATTTTTGTTGCCAGAGAACTCAGTAGCAAAGATATTTAAAACTCCACAGCTTGTTAAATCACCTCACCTCACCTGTAAGTTTACAGTCTATCATGCTTTTAAGTGTGAATCACATTATCTTGGGTTTTGTTTTAAATGTTTCTGGCTCTGAAGACTTTGTGGTAAAGTGCTTCACAATTTGCATTCATAAATTTTCGGGAACCAAGAGATGTCTTTGACAAGGAGGCTGTCTCTTTACCAGCCTCTTGCATATATCATCTCTACTATTCAGGAGTATAAGCAAAGGCACTGAGAACCATCTTAGCCTTAGAGCTTTGTTTTAAAAGCAAACAGTAAATAAAACCAACATGTTTTAGAATCCTGCCTAGCCTTATAAGACTAACAGTGAATTTTGTTCTGTCAAATACTGTTTTATATTTGACTTTGTAAAGTCTTTTTGAGGGGAAATGATTACAGAGGTTTTGCTCTTGCAATCTATTATATTTCTATCTTTAATGCTTTCTTTCTTCCACACAGATTCTCCTCTTTATTTTAAGGGTCTAACACTTAAACGGTTATTACAAAGTTACTGTTTATTACCAGAGGAGGCAGGGTGACATTATCTAATACATTTCTTACCATTTGCAGAACCATCACTGCATACTATTTAACATTTAAATTACAACACAGAAAAAATATTAATAGCTTCAAATGAAAAATATTAGCACCCTGGATAACATGTTTATAAAGAAAAAAGGTGGGCGCATAAATTATTACAGCCATTGTGGAAAATAGCATCGAGCATCCCCAGGATACTATAAATAGATACATGCTAGAATCTTGCTGTATTGTTTCTAGATGTATATCCAAAGGAAATTCTATCTGCTTTTCAAAGAGGTATCATAACACCCATGCTTTTCTGCTAAGATTAGGAATCAAAACTAGATACCCAGCAATGTATGTGTGTGTGTGTGTGTGTGTGTGCATGATTGTCACTCAGAAATAAAAAGAAATATCCTACCATCTATAGCAAATGGTGTTGCAGAATAGTTGTTTAACTATGTAAAGATGTGTTGTATCTGTTTATTTATATAAAGATGTGTTGCTGTTTCTCTTTGCCTGCCTAAGGCACCTGATTGGTCTAATAAAAAGCTAAATGGTCAGTATCAAGGTAGGCAATATAGGCAGGACTTCTGCGCAGGAAGAATTAAGTGTCGTGCCCAAGTTGCAAAGTCTCCAGAGACCACCAGGAAGACAGACTCACTAAACTGCAAAAGCAAGGTTTAATGATTGTTCATCCAACCATGACAGGGACTCAGCCTGGCTAGCTGTCTCGCAGCCTCCAGAGGAAGTGAAGTTCCCTATCTACTGCTAGGTTTTATAAACAAAATTTACAGGATTACATCAGTAGATACGGGTTGGTTTCTGATTGGTTGACATTTGGGAACAATCAGGAGAATTTCTTCAAGTCATACTTTGGCATGAAATACCTGTGCCAATTATTTTCATTGGTCAGTGCTGAGAGGGAACATTCTGTGGTTTCTATGGCATTGTCTTATTACTTGCAGGTGACCTGTTGTACGTAGATACCAATAGTTTCTAGAACTATATCCTGGAGACTACAGGGGAGGTTTTGGTCCCCCCTGGAGTTTCTTTTGTGGCCAAACAGTTCCCAGGAACCAAGCATCTAGGAGGCTGATGGGGGGCGGGGGTCTGCAGTTTCTTTGTATGCAGTTTTGGCCCTAGACTCTGAGAGGCCAGAGGATCTGGAGTTTCCTTGTGTCAGAGGCCTACATGTCTCTTCTGTAGCCTGTTATGGCTACTAAAGCAAGGGGCTGAGTGAGGGTCTGGTCCCTTTATTTCTAAATTATTAGAAGTGAAGCCCTTGGGTTTAGTTCACCCCTTTCATTGAGTAGAAGGAGGAATTAGGCTCAGGGGAAGAAAGAAAAGTGATGCCAGGGAGACTCCAAGGGCCAGACAGTCAGGGAGGGAGGAAGCAGAAAAGTAGACATACCAAATAAAAGAAAGATAAAAAAGCTCTGAGGCAAAACGTAGATGAATAGAAACAGGTTACATTAAAAGAGCTAGTGGGATATACCTAAGGTAAGGCCCATCCTTCATAATTAATAATAAGTCTCCATGTCTTTATTTGGGAGTTGGCAGCCCAAAGAAAATTCCAGCTATAAAATGGATAGTATTTGAAGATATTATGTTAATTTAAGGTAAAAACAGAATGGCAAAAAACAATATATTTTATTCTCTTTATTATTATTACTATTGATTTTGATTTTTCAAGACAGAGTTTCTCTGAGTAGACCTGCCTGTTCTGGAACTTACTCTGTAGACCAGGCTGACCTCCAACTCAGGGATCTACTGCCTCTGCCTCCCGAGTGCTGGGATTAAAGGTGTGTGCATCTCTGATATTAGCAAGAGGATTCATCCAATTTTAAAAAGGGTTTATCAGAAAGGAATAGCTACCTACTAGTTCAGCTACTTTGAACAACAAAATCCAAAGCCCCTGAACCAAAATAGTTAGTGTTAAATTTCAAACCCAGGACAAACAGCTGAGGTTGTTTCACATATCAAAGCCCACCTGGCTGCCAGCATCTCTCAGTCCCTACCTGCTACAGGGGTTACACTGCCCTTCCCCCAGAGTCTCTTCCCTATATAATCCTGACATTTTACTTACCTGTCCCCATTTTAGATCTTTGGCCTCCTGGCTGCTGCAACTGAAGTTCCCCTCTCTCCCCTCTCCCTTCCTATCTTCCTCTCCGATGTGGCCCAACTCAGTCTGGTCATGTCTGGTCTGGACTCTCCCAGATGTCCCTGTTCCTGCCGCTGACTATGTCTCCTTTTAATCTACAATAAACTTTCTTCTTCACCATACCTAGGAGCAGTCATGTTCATTTATTTTCCCTTTTCTTTCTTTATTTTTTTCATTCAATAAGAAAATCTGTCCTTATGCAGAAGGAATCCAGAAACACGTTGATCCTTTACACAGCAGGACAGCTTCACCAGGATCCCAACTGCTCATTCTGCCCTTCTATTAGAGTGATGATTTTTCTG